TGAATCAGACTTTGCTCTGGGTACAGTTTTATTACAAATGGGAACAGATGGCAAACTACATCCAGTAGCCTTTCATTCAAGAAAATTCTCAGCAGTAGAAATCAATAATGAGATCCATAACAAAGAACTTCTTGCAATTGTGGATTCTTTTCAAGAATGGCATCATTATCTAGAAGGCGCTTCTAGTCCAGTCATCGTGTATACGGATCAAAAGAACCTCGAGTATTTTATGTCAGCACGTATATTAAATCATCCTCAAGCTTGTTGGAGCATGTCTTTATCAAGATTTGAGTTCATCATCACTTATCGGCCAAGAAAATAAGAAGGTTTGTCTGATGCCTTGTCTAGACATTCTTATCTTGTACTAAAAGAAGGAGATGCAGCTTTAGAGCAACAAAGAACGGTTTTCTTGAAGCTAGAGCAATTTCATCTACGAGAAATAAAATCAACATTGACTATTGATTTAACTTTTCTTAAGCTAATCCAGTTAAGTATGTCTTCAGACCCTCTTGTTCATGTTATCAAGAATAATTCTTCTAAACCTCATTATCCCTCCAAATTTGAGTTCAAGAACAACCTACTCTATTTCGAAGGACGCCTATATGTTCTAAAAGGAATAGTACGTTTATGTATTCTTCAAGCTCATCATGACTTTCCAACAGCAGAACATTTTGGATATAATAAGACTTTGGAGCTGATATCTAAAGATTTTTGGTGGCCTCAAATGTGGAAGGTAGTCAAAGATTTTGTATAATCATGTGATGTTTGCTCAAGATCAAAAACTCCTCGTCATCGACCTTTTTGACTTCTTCAGCCATTATCCATTCTAGAACAACCATGGTCTTCTACTTCTATGGACTTCATCACAGATCTTCCAATCTCAAGTTTCTATGACTCTATATTCATGATAGTAGATCGTTTTACCAAGATGGCACATTTTGTACCATGTACAAAATCTATTACAGGTGAAGAAATAGTTATGCTCTTTCTTGACAATATCTATGGCTATCATGGATTACCTAAGGATATTATATCAGATAGGAGAACTCAATTTGTATCAAGATTTTGGCGGACTCTTTTTAAGATTCTAAAAGTGGATATAAAACTATCTTTGATATTCCATCCTTAAATTGATGGACAAACAGAATGTATTAATCAAATTTTGGAGCAATATTTAAGATGTACCATTAACTACCAACAAGATGATTAGACAACTCTTTTGCCATTGGCAGAGTTTGTTTACTATAATACGGTACATTCTTCTACAAAACAAACTCCTTTCTTTGCTAATTATGGTTATCATCCACGACTTGATACTTTTGAATTTTTAAAAGTTGATAATCCTGCTGCAAAAGATTTAGCAATTCATTTATTAGAGCTACATGCAATGATGAAGGCGTAGTTAAAAGATACTCAAGAACAACAAAAGGTCAATACGGATGTTTATCAAAAGGAACAACCACGATTCTACTTGGGTAATAAGGTATAGCTACTTTGTTGAAATATGAAGACCACTCGTCCTTGTGATAAGTTGGACTATCAAAGGCTTGGACCATTTTCTATTTCTGCACAAATCAATCCAGTTGCATATCGTTTATATCTATCGGAGTCAATAAAAATCCATCTAATATTCCACATGTCTTTCCTTGAACCATATAAGATAGTGGACATACTAAGAAGACAAGAGGCTCCACCTCCTCCTATAGAAGTGGAAAATAATAAAGAGTTTGAAGTAGAAGAAGTCTTAGATTCAAGAAGGTGCTGAAATAAATTGGAATATCTTGTCCATTGGCACGGATATGATATTAGTGAACGTACATGGGAGCCAATAAAGAATCTTTTAAATGCAGCAAAGGCGGTGGAGGCTTTTCATCGACGACATCTATCAAAATCAAGATGAAAACCTTCTTTATAAAAGAAACAACATCTAGGTAAGATAAAATTCTACTTTCAATCCTTGTTCGTAACTTCTTTGCAGTTGTGACACTGAGGAGATGGAGAACCAACAACCAGCGGATTCGACTCAAGAGCCTTCATTTGCTGACCTGCAAGACGAGACATTACGATTGTCACAATCTTCAAGACGACGCAATCGAGATTAAGATCTTCAAGAACGACATGTTTTTCTTCGAATAGATGGCGAGATACAACGCGTTTGGTATCACTATTTGGGAAGGGACTCCTGATGTTTGGTGATTATGCTAGAGGTAAGAACAACTCTTGATGGTGTTCCAAATATTCTATTCGAAGGAAGTTATGAAGGCCTCAATAATGATCAAATAACTGGGTGGTCTTCTCGCCCTGATATGGGACACTACCGATGGTTGAGAGGCCCTATCAATCATCTTTGAAGAGAACAAAGATCAGAGTATGTAGTAAATACAATTCGTCGCATCATAGATTTCCTCAACATATGATGACCGCTCCTTGTGGAACTCGTCCCTTGAAAGGAGGGATAATGTCACGGACATACTCATGTAAGCTAGTAATTACATATTCAAATAGATAGAAGTAAGTAAAAGTAGATAAAAGTAAGTTAATTTTATAGTATTTAATATGGAAGCTTCCTAAAAGCTTCATAGATGTTGTTTTGACTTCATAGGTGTCTTTAATTGACTTTTTGGATTAGAAACGTGGTCAACAAGTTAGCCATGTGCCACACATGTTGTTAACTTGAAGACCAAGCTAACTATGTGGTCCACATGTAGAAAAACTTGCCTTGTAAGTCAAGGCATGTATCCTAGAAAGTCAACACATATTGGAGGTCCTATAGAACGTCGCCACGTAACCCCTAGTTAGATAGTATATATAGAGACAAGAGTGAAGCCTTCTTCACTCTTGTCAACTCTTTTTTTGCTTCCAATCTAGTTTCAAGGGTCTCTAGTTTTCTTGTCTTTTGGCAATAGCCATTCTTGTTTCTCTTTCAATATACATACTTGTTTATTTATATTTTGTTACCTTTCTTTGAGTGAAGGCTTACTTGTCTGAATTGCTTTTTCATCAAGTTCTTGTCCTTGACAATGGCATATTGTATGTTTAATACCACCTCTTTTGACTATTTCTTTAAGAAATTGGATTTTTTCTTATTGCAAGAAGTCTTCTGGCTATGTCTCATCTATTTGTAAAGATTGAAGATTTCTTCTATTGTATCCGTTATACACTTTGGTGGCCTAATTATTTTAACTGTAAGTTGGAGGAATACAATATGGCAATAACGTCATTGTGGCATTCATCTTCAACGATGTGTATTTTGAGGTCCTAACTAATTAGAAGGGTTCTTAATAAATTAAGAAGAAGTACTTGAAAGTATATTGGTTTTATACTTATATTTTGTTAAAATTACATATTTTATTATTAATTTGTAACATTTGATGTATTGTGTGTAATAATCTTTGTTTACATGACATGATGCTTATAGGTCGACATAAGTGGCCTTATAATAACTTTATATATATATATATCTTACTTTTACATGATAACAAAGCAATAACTTGTAATTAAATAGAATAGGAGTAAAATTTTGTTTAATTTTTGAATAAAAAATATTAAGTTAAATATTAAAATTTGTTTTTATTACAAATATCTAATTTAGCTACTACAACATAAATAATATTGTACTTTTTTACAAGAAAAGAAATTCAAATATTATATAATTAAAGATTATTAATCTTTTAATTACCTTATTTCAATTCTTTGCTAATTTCTTTAAAAAAAATACTAAAATATTCTTTAATACAAAATCAATTTTAAATAAATTAGATTTTTAAAATTTAATTTTAATTTAGAATTTTCTCAATAATCTATAAATTATTGATTAGAAAAAATTAAAAAAATAAATTTTATTTCTTTAAATCTTTTAAATTTTAAATCTTGTAATATAATTTTTTATTATATTTATTTTTTAGTATTTAAAAATTAAACTTTTGCCTATATTTTATAGCTACAACTATAATTTTCTTGAAGAAACAAATATTGTGGTTTGTATTAGCTTCTCATTTCTTTAATTCACAAACGATGAGAGTATAAATATTTTATCTAATATTTTTTCTAATAATAAGACAAATTTTAAACCTAATTAGTCTAAAACAATTAAAAATAAAGAAGTTTGTAATATAACATTACCACTATGTACAAAGAAATATACTTTTGATCAATATGTCCATATATGTGTTTTTAATTTAAGAAGTAATGAAAGATTTATCATAACTGTGTTTTGAATTATTCACAATTTTAGCAAAGGGATTTAAAAACAAAGTAAATGTTTCATTTGGCTGATTTACTACTCACAAACCAAATGTAGTTTAAATTAGAAAGTAAACTGATCATAAATTGTGCTTATCATAGTTACTCCTTACATTCCTTAAAAGATAAGTGTTGATAGAAAAGCTTTAAGAGCATTGTTCTTGGTCAATTTATATCTTTGCAACAGGTCCTCCATGTTTTGTTTTAAAAAAATAAAAACAAAAATACTGTAATGACTGGTTTCACACGTCAGAAGCCAGCATTGCAGAAAGCAGTCATTGTAAAAAATTCATATAATGCAGCACTTGATGTGTGACAGGGAGGAAAAATAAGTTGAACCGATCACCGAAACATTTCTTCGTGTCAGTGCATTCTATGCTCAGCTAGGAATTAGTCAATGAGTCAGTTGAGAAGCTTGGACTAACGCAGCCCAATTTAGGTCAGTTCAGAGACAAGTTCTTTTGGATTCTGATTTTGGCGACTCGATTATGTTTTAAATTGTGAGAAAATCGCACCATTTCACTAATCCTCCCCTAGCTGCGAACAATTGTCCATGAAGTCTTCCACAGAGAGATGCACATAATACATTACTTCAATGTTTCCGATCCTGATATCAAACATTAAGAGTTTAAACTTCTCTGGTCAAAAAGAACAAGCTTCCTGTATGTCGAGTGCTTTCTCTGTTAACGCGCACAACTTTAAAAAAACTCATGGAATCTTCCCATAAAATATGCAGAATGGAAGAGCGCACACGAGAGTAGATCTGTCACTAGAGTGACAAGGATATCATAATTCTTCAATCAATTTGTATGGCAGCAGCTGATCACAACCTTGGGCATCTCTTGTAAGTGCGTGTATGCACAGAACCTCATTAGACTTGAGACAGAAACTGCTAATCAAGAGATAAATGATTTTCACCTGTGATTAAAGCGAAGGTAACAAAGTTTGCACTTGCTTCAAATTCGCCTAGACTTATTTGGAGGCTGGTAATGGCCAGGGTAACTAACGTTTGACTGCTCTTTCCTTCTGAGACCTTGTTGCTGTTGCTGCTGCAGCAGCACAGCTGGATTACCTCTCTGCGTATAAATACCTGCGCTAGAGTTCAGTCCGTGCATTCCCACTGGTGGATTAACAACCATGTTGTTTGAGTTTTGAACTTTGTGTTGTTGCTGCTGCATGTTAACATTCATAGACTGGTGCAGTTGGTTCGAGCCCCCCGACATACTTGAGGGGTTAGGCATCTGTGGAGGAGGTGGGGCAGTTGTTCCATCGAAGTCTGTTGAGTAATCCACGGGGCGTTGAGGATACGGCACTACCTGACAACCAATAACAGCAACATATATGTGAGCACCAGAAAGTAGCAATGCAAGAAAGCAGGTGACGTAGATGAGTAATCAAGTTTATGTATATGTGGAAACACATTTCTTGTTCTATATCAAGTACGTGTTTGTTATCGATCTCAAAAGTGCTAATCATCCTCTGAAGATTTTGCGTGCTAACCATGAGAGGCCTGAAGAGAGAGCCCAGAAAACCCAGTCAATTGGAAAGGCAAATTGACGAAAAAATTCCCAGGTTGATGAGGGCCTAAACTATTTCAGACTCGACTAAGAATCATTCCTGCTTGACATACCAAAAGTCGAACGGTGGGATCAACGTGGAAAATCCAACAATTCAATTAGGAAGGACAAGGAAGTTAGAAGTGAGAAAGAATTAGGATTTGGGCATTACACTTCTGTCAACTGTTCAAGGATGGGGAAGAGAACCTGAATCGTTTAGCTGTTTTCAGATATTATGATCCAAAACGTAAAGCTAACGTTGACAAATATACGCCGAGAAGCGTCACCACACACTCGGAATTTCAAAATAGGTGAAGAAAAGGCCAAAACAACCAGAAAACTAAGAGAAATCTCAGAATAACTCCAACTCACTCCATCAACGCTACACAATAACAGTACTTAAAAAAATATACAATATTATGAATTCATATTACCTTGTCCGCCGCATTGGGTGGAACAAGAGAATTACGGCCTGGAATAGGATCATTTCGAAAATAATCGTGCTCTAAGGCTTGCGATGCCGTGATCCGTTTGATGGGATCGTACTCCAGCATCTTCGACAACAAATCAAACCCTGGACTCTTCGGTGGCAACTGTACAATACTGTAGAGGCCTGGGTTATCATACTTTCGAGTCTGGATATTTTGACGGTTACTCGCCCAATGTGGTAGAGTGAGAAGTGTCGGCCACTTATCCGCAGTAGGGTTGCCAAGGACTTTAAAGATTTTGTCCAACTGATCCAACTGGAACGGATTGGGACTGCTTTTGTCCTCTATTCCCTAACAAAAATTACATGATCAACACAAAATTCGAATACTTAGCAAATTGTACCCGTTTCAAAAAAGATCAGTTTTCAAGCTCAAGATGCTAACCGAAGTGTACTGCAGAAACAAGAGATGAAGCTCGATGGAGAGTACCTGAAAAAGGGGTTTAAGAGTAAGAAGCTCCGCAAAGATACACCCAACTGCCCACATATCGACAGCGCTTGTATAATGCCTACTTCCAAGTAGAAGCTCTGGAGCCCTGTACCAAATGGTAACCACCACACCATTTTCACTCAAGGACCGCAAAGGCGCCTGAAAGATTCGAGCCAAGCCAAAGTCCCCGATTTTTACTAATCCTTGCTCATCGCCTTCTCCCATCACCAGGATGTTGGAGGGTTTCAAATCACGGTGAATAATCCAATTGCTATGAAGGTAGTTCAAGCCATTGAGAATCTGCCAAAGCAAAGACTTCACCGTGTACGCGTTGATACTGCAGTTTATCTTCTCCCGATGATGTCGAATAATCTCGTAGAGATCGTGCTCAGCGTAATCGAACGCAAGGTACAACGACATGTCACCATGGTTGATGTGAACATTCACGAGCTTCACAATGTTTTCATGTATACACTCTCGCAGCAACATAATCTCCCGGATTGCTGTCGGGGAAACGCCATCGCCCTCCTTTGACTGCTTGAACTTCTTGATCGCAATTTTAGTGCCCCTGCTATAAGCACCAAGAGACAACAATGTCATCAACCTACGAAAAACAGCTCAAACACGTGACGAAGGCATGGCATGCTTCCTTTTCTCTTGAAATGGAAACCCTAAATGAATTGTGGTAATTGATGCACAAGCTTGTGCCCAAAATTTACTAGTCCCAACAACGGCACAAACCCTCCGCACTTATTGAATGTCATTCAAATTCTCAAATAGATCTACGGAGTGCCCACAACCATAAACCCACCTGTGCGCAGGCTCTTTGCTCTTCGCAAGATACACCAGCCCGTACGTTCCTTCTCCAATCTTCCCAACTAAATCATACTGCTGCAACCACTCCGGGCGCGCCCGCTGCTTGCCGGATCCATCCGCCACCATCGCTAAGCCCAGTCTGCTTATCACTAAAACCCAAATCTTCAACCCCCAATCTTCAAACCTCAGAGACGCAACTTCCCTCCAAAACAGATACCAGCCTTCACCTCCATTCCAGGAGGTTCCGTCATCATCCCGCCATATCCACAACTACGATGAATCCAGACACACAAGAACCCTCTGAAACATCCTCATAGCCTATCCCTGCATCTCATCACAGCGTTCACGTTTCAACATGACAGAGTCTGCTAAGCTTGCAATTCGAATCGTAGCGGAATCCATTACGACGGTTGAATAGTGCCCACCCTGAAACTCAGCCAAGACAACGGTCGCAGCAACGCGTTGAATGATGCTTTCCTTGGTTCTCTCAACAAGGAACTAATTTCACACAGACGTTGAACGAGATTGATTCCTAGTAACGTTACCCCAATCACAGACTCATGCACATGTTTCAACCACCCCCGCGATAAAATACCTTGGCAAGTGCACCAGACGCATGCGAATGGCCAGCGCTCGTGATGCCAATGGAGGTGGAATCATTTACCTTTTCTACCAAACTATGATTCTTTTTCTCGAAAACTTATTTCCACTTAGGAAACAAACTAGGGTTACCAAGGGTTGCTGACAAAACTGACTGAAATGGATTGGATGAATGATTACAACAGTCACATGATGCACATTTGGTGCTTCGATGATTGATTGTGCATCGATCCCAATGTCGACTTGCGAAATTCAGGATGAAAGCGTTCATCGGACCATGAAAAAAATATGCACATGAAGTTGAGCACTTGCCAAGCCACTTTGAAACAAAACTCATTTTCAGCCTGCGTCTGAGTACCTGATGAGTCTAGCAGTGGATGCCGTAGAGAGAAGGACAAGACTTACCAGAATTCTTTGCACATCACCAATTGTGTCAGGACTCCAGCTTTCAGATACGAGTAGGTAAATTGAACATTGAAGTACTGTACTGGCGAAATGCGAAGTTAGTGTTAGGTGACGCAGTCGGAAATACTCCTCAACAGGTAGCCTAACGCGACCGCAAGTTTTCAGAGGATTTGTCTGTATGGTTTCCTGGAAAGGAATGGGAATGGATTGAGGTACCTCCGAGAGCATCCGATTTTATTACAATTTTGTTACTGGACAAGTGGACCCTAAACAGTATTCAATAATGAACTGGAGTATTCAGAGACGTCCGGGCTTATCAAGAGCACACCATTGTGGTGAGATTATAGCACCAAGGACAGAGGCAATCTCGGCTTCTGGCTAACGTGTGTCGTTGAAACCGGCTTCAATTGCCATAAGTGCCCCGCCAAATATTCCCCAGATAGAAATTGAACTTTTGGGGTAGTAAAGTCACGTTGCGGTATTCTTGGGCTTGGTTATTGATTCTTGCCTTGCTTTCAAGGAATTGTTCGCAGACTTGTTCACACAACCCATCGGTGCTGAAGAAAACTAAAAGCCCTGGTGAGATAGACTTTTAGGGCTGTGAGAGCGAGTGGAAGAGGGTGAAATATGTGCTGATTTACTCCCTAATGTTTTTCAGAAGGAAGAAGATCCACACATTAGGAAACTCAGAACACTGAACCTATCACGCTGTGAGGACAACACAATCAATCAATCACCAAAACCTCGTCAATGTTCAAGAAAAACTCCAAAGATTCCAACAATATTCTAATGGACTGACCTTAGAGGTACAGCCTTCCCCAGCTCTTCATCATCTTCGTGTGAATCGTGAGCTTCTTTAGCACTAAGAGCTTCCGCCAAATTTTGATGACTCCAAGTCAGGGAAGGAAACACACTGAAACCAGAGCAAGACAAATGAGTCATTGTTTGAATAGTCCCAACAAACTACCAATTCAAGCATGAAGAGACAATTAACGAGTAATGGAATGCAAGCTAGGATCATCAACGTCGGATGTGTTCGTGCCTCTGACATGAAAGGAGTGATGCCTGAATAATCTGTCAGAGCAGGTGCTCACGCTTCCGGACCTCGGTGGGTCCCAATTAATGACTTGAGTTGCTGAATATTCCTTTCGCTTAAATTTTGTTGCATGCCACAATTGTAATCCATGCATGGGGAAGTATCTAGAATTGGGTTCCTTTGCCCGGCGAAGGAAAATCATCTCTACACTTGTACCTTTCTCCATGAAAGGTTAATCTTTGTAATGAATATTCATGTAAATTAAGAATTTGGATAAGTTTGAATTGTTTGGTCCATATATTTGCTTTTAGTAGCTTTAAGTAGGTGAATTCATTTTTGCACTAAGGCCTTAAGGCCTAGTTGGATTGATTTTGTCCATTCATATATTTGTTTTGGTTGAACAATCCATGTTAGAGTTCAATAGGGTCTTGACTAGCAACCAAGGTGCAAGACAAACAAAGAATCTTAAGTGGCGATTAGCCATTGAAAAAACCATATGTTGAGAATCTACATGTTACTTATTACAAATGTAATACCATTGAGAAATAAGTTGTTTCCAATGCATATTAATTGTTTTTAAGGTTAAAACATTCTTAAAAACAATCAGTAATTTTAATCATATAAAAAATATTGTTCAAATGAATACCAGTATAAATAACACCTAAATTATGCTTCAAGAAGCATCTAAACTTACTCTCACTCCAAAACATTATTGAATTTGGCATAACTATCAAAGTATTATTTTATAAATCATTTCTAAATCTAAATTGTTGTTTTAAGATGTTGTTCTTGTACCAAATAGTATGTATAACATAATGCATCTCAGATTATTATTATATCAATTATTGATATAATGAAAAATCTAAAAATAACTACTGATTTAATTAAAAATTATATTAATTAAAATATTTTATAATTCTATTATTATAACATATTATAAAATTACAATTATTTATGAAAAAATATTATTATAATATTTTATAATTGTAATAAATTATTTTTATTATCATTATATTCATTGATAATATATTATGGTATCATTAACTTATTATTATATTATATTATGACATTAATCTTATATTATATAATTATATTTTATAATTATAATATAATATAATTTTTTAAAAATACTATTGTAAAAAATTAGCATATTATATAAAGCTAATAGATTATAATAATGATTTATTATTATATAATGGTCTCATAAATAATTATTCTATAATTTTATTATTATGTATATTATTATATTTTTTTCATATATACTAATATTTTAATATTTTATAATATATTTATAACATCATTCTAATTTTTTACTAGTTAAATAATTATAATAAAGATAAATATATACTTTAATTACTTTAGATATTAATTTTAGCCAATTGATTAATGTCAAAAATTTATTGAAATTATGATAATAATTAAAAAATTATTTTATTTAAGAATCATTCTTTATGGCTTCTAAAAAAATCCTATTATATTATAATACATGTATTATATATATATATATATATATATATATATATATATAGACACATATATTAATCAATCAATTTAGCTATAAATTTTAATTTTTTATATTTATCTATATTTAATTTAGTCAAAATTTTATTTTTTATTAAAAATATATAATAATCATATTAATATATATAATTGATAAGATTCAATAAAAATCTAGATTGATAATAAAAATCATATTAATAATAATATCCTATTTAATAAATTATTCTAATAAAAATTATATATATTAATCACTAATAGTTTATGATTAATTAAATAATATTTTATAAGTTAATCCTTTATACATAGATACTTGATTATCATTAATTATGTTGCTAAAGATTACATTTAATATATATTACAAAATCTTTTAAGCCATCATATAGTTAGAAGAAAATTTATTCTTTGTTCTATTAGACTTGTGCATCTATATAATTCTTGATGAATAGTATTGAAGTTGGTTATATTTGAAAATCATTTTTTTATAGAATGATTTGAAAAAATATTAAATATAAATTTTTATCAGTTTAAAATTGAACTATGAATGTTTAGTTATATTATAATTGGTATTTTTATTAAAGAGTATTTTTTTGAAATAAAATAGAATTGATTAAAAAAATGTATTGATAATATTTTACGTTGCAAAAAATCTTAGCAATATTTCTACTAATTAGAGGATATTTAAGTATTAAGTTATAATATTATAGTAGTATTAAATCTATTATGGATATACATATTTACTCCAATAATTATCTATATGATTAAGTATAAGTAAATAAAAGTAGATTAAATTCATAAAATCTTTTAGATTTGCAACTATTCTAGAACTTCACAAACTTATCAATACTAAAAGAGTAGAAATTTCATGTATTCCAACATGATTTATAAAGGTACTATTCTTATACATATGAAAGAAGTCCAAAGTCTATAAGAAGAAGTTGTGCAATTAAAGGAAGTAAGTACATTAGCCTCACAACCAAATTTAAGAAGTTTCGGTTGTACAAGCACAAGAGAGATAAGAATTAGTATGCTTAAGAAGTTTCATGGAATAAGTTTAAAATTTTGAAGATTTTTACAACAAATTAATTTTTATTTAAGATTGCATCTTTTCCAATACTATAATAGATTTATTCAAGTATGATTCATAGGCGCACTTATATCAAAAAATAATCTCTTTTGGTTTATACCTTTTATGGAAAAAGATTCACAACCATTCTATGATTTAAATTCATTCTTGGAAGTATTTATAGCTACATTTGGAGAAAATGATCAAAAAAAGGTAGTAGAAATTGAGCTCATGTCGCTATAACAAAGATCACATTCAACCACCACATGTCAAAGATAAGAACTTGATGAAAGCAAATAAATAAATGAGATTTTTTCAAAGAAATATGAAAAAATAGAAATAGAAAAATATATATATTAAAAAAGAAATTAGAATGACTATTGCCAAAAGATAAAGAAACTAAAGACTCTTGAAACTAGAGAAGAACCTAGAAAGGAGTTGATAAGAGTGAAAAAAACTTTATTCTTGCTTCTATATATATTATCTACATAAGATCTATGTGGCAACGTTCTATAGGACCTCCAAAAATGTATTCTTTTTATATGACATATATCTTAACTTGCAAGTCGAGTTTTCTATATGAGTGCCACATAATTAGTTTGTTCCATAATTACAAACATATGTAGCACGTGGTTAGCTTATTGACAAAGTTTCTAATCTACTAATCAATTACAAACACATATAAAGTCAAAAAAAACATCTAAGAAGTTTCTAAAAATCTTTTTTAGAAGGTATTATGAAATTAATCTACTATTATCTACTTCTATCTATTCATATCACTTAGATAACAATTACAATAGATATATATCTATGACATTATTCCTCCTACTAGAGACGAATTCTACAAGAAGTGGTGATCAAATATTGAAGAAGTCTAAGTTGTGAAAAATTTTATTTGCCACGTACTCTAATCTTTATGCCTTTTGAAGGTAGTTGATAGGTCCTCTCTGCCATTAATAATGTTCCATTACAGAGTAGAAAGACCACCTTGTTAATTGATTATTGTTGAAACTTTTGTAACTTCCTTCAAACAAAATATTCATAATACTATTAGGAGTTGTGTCAACCTCCAATAAAATTATCAAACATTGAGAATGTCTTTTAGGTCATGATACCAAATACATTATATCTCACTATCTATTTGAAGAAGAATATGTCATTCTTGGAGGTCTTTATGTCTATTACATCATCTTGAAGGTTGTAATAATCATAATGTCTCATCCAATAAATCAAAAAATCATAGCTCTTCATTTGAATCCACTAGTTGTTGGTTTCCCATCTCTTTGATGCCACAATTATACAAAAACTACAACAAGGATAGAAGATAGAATACAATCTTTCCTAAATTTTATTTCTTTTATAGTAAAGATTTTCTATCCTTTATTTTGATTTTGATGGGTGTCGTTGATGAAAAGCTTTGACTTTTTTTACTATATTTGTAAGATTTTTTACTGGCTCCTATATATATTTGTTAATATTATATCCATACTAATGAATAAGATATTCTAACTTATGTTGACATTGTCTTCAGTCTAAGACTTCTTCTACCTCAAATTTTTGATTATTATCTACTTCTATAGGAGGCGGTGGTATTTTTTTTTTTCTTGAGATATTCAATGTCTTATATGGCTCTAAAAAAGATGTGTAAAATATGGGGTGGATTTTTATAGACTTTAATGGATGTAATCAATAAACAACTGGATTGGCTTGTTTACAAATAAGAAATAGTCCAAGT